TTGTTTGTCCTAGTTAGTTCTTCACATTCACAGAGACCTTAACAAAGAAACAAATCAGTTCTTTGGCCACAGTAATGTAATTATTAAATCCACCTATTCCTCATGTAGTATGATATGTATGCAAAGTAAGGCATGAGAATCTTATTACAGCTCCAACAGGTGTCTGTTCCTTAGCATGTGGGCGGTAGCTATGAACATTTAAAAAATATACCAAACCCCGACTGAAGGAAATAACTTTAAAATGCGATTTCGACCTGTCTGATTATATAGTTTTACTTTAAAAAAGGTTTGCTTGAAATTAAGGAAGACTCCTTTCTTGCGACTCAAAGCTATTTTTCAGAGGTAGCTGCAGAATCTCATCTGAGAGAAAGGAAATTAAAATATTATGTCTAAACCTTCAGGGTACCTAAACTGGGACAGGGGGGTCATGAAAATCAAAGTTCGCCTTTACTGGCACAGAATATGAAGTAAAAGGTGTACAGTAGCTTAATAAAGCACCCACTCAGAAGCTTGTGGTTCAGGTCCCACTGTTAAAGAAGTTTTAAAACAGAACAAAGCGTGGAAAACGATCGCGAAGTGATTCGTGGTTCTGAATCCCTCAAACGTGTTTGTTGGTGATTTTAAAGACCGAAGTCCGAGGAGACGGAGATAATTCACGTGCTTTCCAAATCTTGGTCATCGAGACAAAATGCGGAGAAATGACGATTATAATATGATGATGATGATGATAATAAGAGTGAGTGAACATTTCTTCACGCAATTAGGGTTTACAGCCCCCTAGGGACACAAAAGAAAGCAATTTTTATTTCACCGGAATGGAAATCAGAGAACGTGTTCCAGGCTCGTCCGGGGAGGAAGGCTCACGGCACAGGACAGCTGTCCAGCCCGCCGCTCCGCCTTCGTGCAGAACAGAGAACTCCGGGCGGACCTACAGTATTTGACCAAACACTCCCAGACCGTAGGGTTATTGGACGAGCTGACCACGGCGGCTGACCCCGCCCCCCCGCCCGCACAGTCAAGTTCGGTTGCGCGGCGCGTCTGACCTGATTGGCGTGACGCCAGCCCGGCGAGCGGCGCGGGGAGGCCGGGCCGTGACACGCGCTCGGGGGCGGGGCCTGCGGCTCGCGAAGCGCTGTTCTTCTTTTAAGGGGGGTGGACGTGTAGTGTTCAGGCTGTCTTTAATAACACCCGAATTACAAAACAACAAGTTCTACACATTGCATTTCGCACTACAGGAAGGTCGTTAGCAGGGTTTAAGTGGCGGCTCTGTGGCTCAGGATCTGCTCCTGTGGCTGGAAGGTTGCTGGTTCAAATCCCGCAGCCGGCAGAGGAATCCTACTCTGTTGGGCCCCTGAGCAAGGCCCTTCACCCTAACTGCTCCAGGGGTGCCATATAAATGGCTGACCCTGCACTCTGACCCCCAGCTTCTCTCCCCGTATGTGTGTCTCATGGAGAGCAAGCAGGGGTATGCGAAAAAACAAATTCCTAATATGAGAAATTGTATATGGCCACTAAAGTGATCTTATTTAAGATCAGGGAAGAATTGTAAGCTAACAACAACAACAACAGCGACATAATAATAAACTTTATTTTTATATAGTGCCTTTAAACGACTTGGCTTATCAAAGTGCTTTACAGAACAACAACAAAAAACAATGAGAGGAGACAGTGGATGTTAAATATAAGCCTCGAAACACTTTTCAGTCCAGATGTGCAAGAGTTTAGGGCACGTGACTCTCTGAGATCCCTGGGGATGGAGTTCCAGAGTTGTGGGGCGCAGCAGGAGAGGACCCTGTTACCCCTAGAGTGTAGACGGGCTTGGGGGACAGACGGGAGACCAGTCTAGAGGAGTGAAGGCAGTGAGGTGGGGAGTACGGTGATAATAAGAGCTCAGACAGGTACTGAGGTGCCGAGCCAGGCAGAGCCTTGTAGGTGAGCAGGAGGATTTTGACGTCGACACAGAACCTGACAGGAAGCCGGTGCAGGGACTCCAGGACAGGAGTAATGTGATCACTCGCACTAGACCTGGGCAGGATTCTGGCTGCCGAATTCTGGACATACTGGAGTTTGTTCAGTGTGGATTTAGACACCCCAGCGAGGAGAATGTTACCCCAGTCAAGACGAGAACAAAACCAGAGCTGTTGCCCAGCTTGTCATCAACAGTTAGTGATAACACAGGACGCAGCCTGGCGATATTTCTGAGGTGAACGAATGATATTTTGACAACATGTTGCACATGTGGGTCAGATGTCAAGCCTGGATTAAATATCACACCCACGTTCTTCAATTTTGATTGAAACTCAAGTACAGTACCATCCACAGATAGGGTTACAGCACTGGCTTTATGTAGCCAGACCTCAGTCTTGTCGCAGGTCAGATGAAGGAAAGTGTGAGTCATCCACGTTTTTTAATGTCAGAGATGCAATTAA